ACTCTTTCGCCTCTGTCGTGACCTAAAGGCGGATGAAAAGTGCACGTGAAATTTAAGTAATCGCCTGGATGAAAAACAAGGTAAGGCGACCCGTAATGGGAAAGTGTGCTTTAATACATTTTGGATATTAGGAATCCATTAGGGAACTTCCCGAGACGTTCCAAACAGTTAGCTGCTGTATAGTGCATTTTAAGACGGGAGATGACGATTAAAGGAAGCGCTCAAGAAAAGATGAAGTATTAATGTAAAAAACTGACCAGTATCGTTGAGGTTAATATAGGCCTATATTATATGAAAACAAATAAACATTTGAAATAAAAATCATTGAGAGTTCTCTTGTGCACTATGACCGGTTCCAACTTTATATGTTCAGATATACACTTTCTTTCTTATGAACACATTCATGCAAGCCTTTAATAAGTTCAAATCTAACGAAGATAGCAAACATGGAAAAAACGATAAAGGATTATATTCTAACAAGTGACACTTTTATTTTAAACAAATCATTGCGTATCCCTTTTAACCAACTAAATTGGCTGAAATTTAAATAATATAAAACCGAAATCTTGAGGCGACGTATCATGAAATGACTGTGTAGGCGGAATAAGATTTGAGGCTCAAATAAACTTATGGAATTGGGTTATCGTCATTAAGAATTGAACACTATTGCAACTGCCAAAGTTATTCTCTCTCTATTTTTCTTTACATTATCTTCGTTCTCTGTTACTTCGTTGGTGTTAATTTTATGATCACTTAGTACCTCCCCCCCCCCCCCCCCCCCCATCCCCTCGTCGACAATACCACCGCCGTTGTTTTTACGAAATGACTGTGTAGGCGGAATAATTATTAAGATTTAAGGCTCAAAATGGAATTAGGTTACCGTTATTAAGAATTGAACACCATGCAACTGCCAAAGTAATATGCATTCTCTATATATGTCTCTTTGCATTATCTTCGTTCTATCTCACTTCTTTGTTTTTTGTTTTTTGATTACCCCCCCCCCCCCCCCCCGTCAACAATACCGAAACTGTTTTCCACCGCCTATTATTTTCTTCCTTCAACAAACGCACCGATAGATGATAGATGGAGTTTGGAGGAGCTATATAGCCTTCTACGGGAAAGGGCGAAGGAGAAGAAATGAAGAAGAAAATGAAGAAGAAAAAGAAGAAGAAGAAGAAGAAGAAGAAGAAGAAGAAGAAGAAGAAGAAGAAGAAGAAGAAGAAGAAGAAAAAAAGAAGAAGAAGGAGAACAACTTCAAAAAGCTCAAGAAGAAGAAGGGCAGGAGGATGAGGAAACAAAGAAGAAGAAGAAGAAGAAGAAGAAGAAGAAGAAGAAGAAGAAGAAGAAGAAGAAGAAGAAGAAGAAGAAGAAGAAGAAGAAGAAAAAGAAGAAGAAGAAGAGAAAGAAGAAGAAGAAGAAAGAGAAAGAAGAAGAAGAAAAAGAAGAAGAAGAAACAGGAGATCAGAAATGATGAAACGAACTTTCCCAACGGGGGAGGAGTATGCAGTTCAAAAGTCGAATCTAAACATTTTAAAACTGTGACAAATATGACAGTCCTTTGTTCAAGGCCAAGGAGAGACAAAAAGAAATATAGGTAGTATAGACTAGCTTCCTTCTCGAAACCTCCACTATGGTGAGTTAAAGTTCAAAACTGCGTGACTAATTTCATTGAAGTCATAGCAAGCAAATCGACTTCTACATGCTCTAATTATTTCAGTGCTGTCTGTCCAACTCGTCTGCAGTGACTACCTGCCCCCGACCCCCCCCCCCCCCCCTACCCCTTCCCTTGGGCACTTTCACGATAATTAAGCGTCGGGTAGGCTTCAATTAAAATTTAGATCTAAATGTGTTTATCGTAAATCAATTTTATTTTATCATCTTCATTGTTTTAACAATAAATGCACTTCACGTCACCTAATATTTTTTCACACTTCGACATGTTCAGTAAGAAAGTAATGAGTTCATTATTGCACATATAATTTAATTACGGGGAGAAAACAAAACGGGGGCCGGGGTATATACTAGCTGCCTGGAGACAAAGGCAGGAAGACAAATACAGATAAACATAAATAATATGTATAGACAGACAAAAAGATGGAGAGCATACAAGAGGGGTCATACACATGAGGAAGGGGGAAGTGAAGAGAGGGTGGTGTTGACAGAAATAAATGAGCATCTTGTATTATTTTCAAAATGTCTTAATAAAGATGAATTCTTGAAACGATTGATGACGTCAAAATATCATCCTTATCAATTATTTGTTGCTATTGTTGTTGTTGTTTTGTTGTTATCGTTGTTAAATCCAGGATAAGAAACAGTGTTAGTAAGTGAGTGGGAAAGTGACTCCGTTGCACCCCCCCCCCCCTGCCCCTATCTTCGTGACTTCTATATAGGCTATTTGGTTTAACATCGTTAGAATTAACTGCAAAGCAGCCCCCCCCCCCTCTCTCTCTCTCTCTCTCTCTCTCTCTTCTCTGTTTTAAAACGATATACCCGCCAACGCCAAAATTCCCGATATCAATCCCACTGACCTCGTAATAAAATCGAAAGAGAAATAATAGTCAAGCTTTTGAATCATACGGAATCATACAGAAACAAACTCATTGATCTCAGAGCCATTGAACGGGTTCTGGCTTTTTCTCTCTTTTTTTTTTGTTGTTGTTGTCTCTTTTGGTTCGTAATTGGAATAAGTGGTTTCATGCATGAAAGGATGTAAACAAAGAAAATACTGGCTTTCGATATTGCTTTCTCGGTCAATTTTCATTCAACAACGACAAAAATAAAAAAATAATATAACAATAAAAGAAATGCGCGATCACGATAACATTCGTCATCAGATGACGTAATTGATACAACCAACAAAAGAGCAATATCGTCCACCTGTACCTCCACACAAAGAAAATCATCATCTTACATCTTCATAAATGATACGTTTCAATCGCGCAATGGGATCATCATCATCAGATAAAAGATTTAATGGAAGACTTGTCTTACCTTGTTTTTAGTCAGAATCACTGGCTGTTATTTCCTCGCATAAGCTCCCGAAAGAAACCTTGTAAGAGTGTAACCCAAACCGTCGTTCATGAGCCAAGAAAGATCAATCGCTTTATAGTGCGACGTACCAAAACGACTTCTCGTAATAATTTATCCGCCAGCCAGCCGTAAGTATACCTTTGTCGTGCGTTGGTTCGTGCGTCGCGCGTGCGTAATTTTATCCCAACGGGAAAAGACGAGTGCACGTTAAGTACATATTGCATGCAGGTGTGTAATTATATCTCCTTTTCTCTTTCTTTCTTTCTCTTTCTCTCTCTCTCTCTCTCTCTCTCTCTCTTTAATATGTTTCGGAGAATATCTAGTTGAACCCACTTGAACCCACATTGATAAAATCCCGCAATTGCCCTTAATAGAAAATCATGAATTTGTATGGCTGGTCTTTTTTTTCCACTATACTTTTTGTTGTAGTAGTTCTCTTCGCCCTCCTCTCTCTCTCTCTCTCCCTCTCCTTTTTTCTCTCTTTCTCTTTTTTTTTTCTCTCTCTCTATGACTATATGTCTATTTCAATATCTCTCTCGCTATCTCTCTTGATATCGTACTTTGTTTGATTTACCAGCTTAACCAGATGGTAATTGTCCCACACATTCGAGTAGAGTTTCAACAGTGGCCGTATTGCGTTACTAGATAACCATACTACAGGGTTTTGATGCATATAGTGGTTAGAATTTCAACATTGAATTGAAGTCCGTTTGTTTCAAAGATGTATTCTTGAACAAAATATTTAACAAAATGTAAATAACTTGATCTTGGTTGTAGGCCTTATCTACATTGTAAACACAGGGACTAATATGACTGCATTTACGTTATTTTGAATTATTTTCCCGCTTTCATCAGTACTCGAAGAAGATTAAAATGGATACTTATATACGTTATATTAGAATAGAATTAATCATGTTAATGGTATTGTGTTGGAATCATGTAATATATAAATGTACTGATTACCATACATTTTATTGTAATCCAACAGCCGTGATTTTAGGAAAGGTTATTACCACGTTAAATATTGCTTTCCTCATTAGTTCTCCCCCTTTCACAGCCCCCCCCCCCCCCCCTCCACCTTCTCTCTATCTGCCTCCTCCATCTAATCTAGACTAAGGCTTCCCAGGCTCCCTCTTTCTCTCCTCTCTCAAGCTATTTTTCCCTCTCACTATCACATCGATAGCTGTTGGCTCGGATGAAGAGAAAACAAAAATGAGATGCAGAGAGAAAGAAAGAAAGAGAGAGAAAGAGAAAGAAACATGGGGGAGATGATCACATAGGTGTATATATTTTTGTTCTGATACCTACTCTTTGATTAATGCAAGACTAACAATGAGGAGCATGATAAACTAAAAGCTGTTTTGAAACTTTGTTCCACGCTTTATTTCCTTCAAATAAACGTTTTCAATGTACTGAAAATGGTTCCACATGTACTTTTTCGAAGAATAAATAAAATACATATAATCAAAGCAAACATAAAATACGGGCACATGTACTGAACTTGACATTTTTACAGACACAAGACGAAAAAAGAAGCCCCTAGTTTTCATCAAGATGTTAAATTCAAACTGTATATATCTTGTTTTTCCCAAAAATCTACATTCATATAGTATCCCAAGAAATATCTGAAAATATCCAGGAAAATCACTGTTTGAAAGAATGATTTGATCATTCCACCTCCCCCCCCCCCCCCCGAAAAAAGAAGCCCCTAGTTTTCATCAAGATGTTAAATTCAAACTGTATATATCTTGTTTTTCCCAAAAATCTACATTCATATAGTATCCCAAGAAATATCTGAAAATATCCAGGAAAATCACTGTTTGAAAGAATGATTTGATCATTCCACCCCCCCCCCCTCCCCCACAGTCTGTATTTTGGTTCCCCTTTCTGATCATTAAACACCTGTATGCTGCCAAACAAAGCAACAAATACGACAACACAAAATGTACGAAAAGAACATAAATATAAAATAATATTTCAAAATGGGAACCATTATTCAATGAACATCATTTTTTTTAGTAGCAGGTTTGATTTAGATCACAAACCCGTCTTGACTTTTTCAAAAATAAGCAAAAGTAAAAGCAAAAAAATAAATAGTATACGATTTAAGCTGTCGCTTTCAAAACCTGAGTTGTTACATTTCAAATAACGAATATAAGAAAGATATTTTTCATTTTCGCAATACATTGACCTTAAATTTGATCTAAATATTATGACAAAAATCGACAGATTCACCAGAATCAATGTCTAACTTTATCAATCCATTTAATTCATTTATCCGACTCTCATTTGTCTTGAATGCATTTTGGGAAATCAAATTAATCTAGATCACTTGTGAATTAAACAAAATAAACTTGTTTTAAAGCACCTGCTCTCCATAGATATGATTAGAACGTGTTTATGAATATTATTTTTCCGCTTTGACACCTTATGCAAATATGTCCTGAGTGCTAATTAATATGCATACTGATTGCGTTCTTTGTCTACCATTTGTTCCTTCTCTTTAGATTCATCTTGCTAATTATGAAATCATTGTTTTTGCCCTTTACTTTTCCCCTTACATGACTTGAAAATCATGAACAAAAGAATGTGAGAGATTTATCTCTAGTGGAGCATGAGCGCCAGTAATGTGGTGACTACTAGGCTTAGGACACCGCAGACCGGTAGATGGCGCTGTGATCCGCTCTCGGGTTCCTCCGTTGCATCAAGGTTCATGGAGAGATCCCAGTTCATTCTAGGATCCCAGCTGTTGATGCGAGGCGTCCCGTAGATGAAATGGATGCTGTCGTAGTTGCAGAGGTCTAGAGGGAAGTACTCGCTGCAGCAGTAGTGGCACTGGACGCCAGGGCCTGGTGGAGTGTCCTGCCCGTAAGGAAAGATGTACTCAAAGCAGGAGGCCTTGGCAGGGTCGGCTTCGTAACTGTACAGCAGGTCATAGCAGTCCTCCTATCAAAATGAAAGAGAAGCAAACGAAATGTCGACCTTTTCTATCCAACCGATGGTTTTCAATAGCGAGTGTCGACAACTTGACTGAAAGTTTCCAAAATCAAAAGAACAACAACAAGTAAGTTTCCGAATTCGTCAAGTTCTTCAAGGGATTAGCAAAAGTTGTTCTTACTTCTGGTCCCAATGCCCCCTCCTTCTTTCTTGAGCCGTGTCGAAGTTTGCGACCCAAATGCTGAATGAGACGATGGTCCTAGATCACCATTATGTCCCTTAATAGGGCATTTTTTCCATGTTGCTTGTCTTTACCCTGGTGAATTTCGTACAGGTGGAATTTGATCTCATTGCGATTTCGAATATCACATACTACTCGAATGTAAAAAGTTTGCACTGAGGGCTATGAAGCACAAGTGAGACCAAGATAAACAAAATGATCAGAAAAGAGTGTTTATATCATTTCTTACCAGATTCATGCAACCTTTCCTAATCATGAAGCCATCTCCTTCCGGGTTCATCTGTATAGTCTGATAGCACGTGTCTGTCGGATTGGGACACTGTCGGGCGGTGCCGTTTTCAGATTCCTGCATAGGATATGAAATGTGTTATGATTGTGTAGCATTACATGTGAAACGTAAGTTCTATTATGGACATGGTCAGAATATTGATGTATCACCGATACTGTTACTTCGGCCGATTGAGGTAGTGAGGATCTCCCTCATTTATTTGTTAATTTGTTTCTATCATAACCATCTTTCATAACGCTATTTAAAATAGAATTACTTGTATGACGAATACAAAGTTAAGTTTGGGGAAATAAATGTGGAGTAGAAAGGGATACAACTCAACCTATCAAATTAAAATTAATCTTATTTAACTGTTTTTCAACAAACAACAACAACCAGAACGTGACTTTGTTACAACTCATTTTCTCCTCATGTAAAGTATTGAATCAGAATCAGAAACTGTCCGTGTAGACACAACGACAGTTCCAAACATTTTGAAATGTTCGTAGTACCTCCGCGAATCAAGACGATCTGCATCGTGCGCAAGGGCAGGTTACCACTCAAGAAATAAACACAAAGAACTGCAACGAACCACAACGAACCGCAACGAAGCGCCACGATTAAGGAAGTCCAAATTGATTTGCTAGACCATCGTAGTACGCATGTAGGTCCATGGCTAGACTGAGGGGGTTCCAATTTCCACCGCGATTCTATTCGGGACAAAACAATGTGCCAGATGGTTGGGGTTTGCCGAAGAATCACCGTTGTGTGAATGAGGCTAAAATGCAAGTCCTGACACTACTGCTGAATCATACCACGAATTCATGAAACATAAATTGAGGCTCACCATACGACCGTTGCATTTGACGTTATCAATGGAATCCTCGCAGTGATAGCATCGGAAGTCCGTTGAACGGGCTAAAAATAAAGCAAATGGTAAAGGTTTTTAAAAAATAAGAAATAGATATCAGCATTCGTGTAATTATTCTTAAGTTTATTGAATCGAGAAAGTTCAAAGTAACTGACATGAAAGAAAATTGCAAAAAAAAAAAAACATTTTAACTAGATCAAGTAATTCGATCAACGCAATGATGTAGACTTGATTATTTCAGATTCAAATTGGATTTTATTGAAATCTCCAAACAAAAGGCCTGCGCCTAAATGTATAACTTAAATCTAGTGGCGTTAATCTTTTCAAAATTATAGACAAATCCTGACATTATGTAAAATTTACTTTGGTAAGCCCCTCCTTTCCGAACTGTCGTTTAAAAAAAAGTTTGTGATAAAAGTTAATTTTTATATCAAAATCAGAAACAAGATAATCTTGGAATATAGATAACTTGTGGTAGAACTCTCAATTATTAAGTGTGAATAGCTACAAGAAACCATCAATCGAAATAAGAAAACAAAGATTTACACACTTACCCATTGCTGTGTGGTAGAAATGGGAAGAAAGAAAGAAAGAAAGGAAAAGGTTATACGTGCACAAAATGTACGCCATGTTTCATTATTTATACTGTTGCAAGCAATCTTATACCCGAGTCACATTCCCAAACTGACCTTAAACTAATACTCCTGTTTTCTACTAATTCAATAAAACCCGTCCCTGGGTTAAAAATCACTTTTGATAAAGGAAAACTTAGACCTCTTACCAACTTCCCTTGTTAAAACTGATTTTTAAACAAAAGCTTAAGTCCAGCTTCGGGTTTTAAAAAAGTCTTGGCCTCTCAGTGAGCTCGGTGTGGTTTGGCCATTAATAGTGGTTAACTGAACAAAATTAATGAAATTGTCTAAAGATCCACCTCGACATGCACTTTTAGAACTGTCTTTTTAATCACAAGAGTATACTTGTGAAATGTGAATATTCATTCTCATTAACTGAAACGTAATGAATTATATTTTACGACTTTAATATGATGTAAGTTCTGTTTTTGCTTTTCTTAAATAATTTAAACACAGTGGTCATGTATCCCGAGTATCATCTGGCCTTTTTATATGTTTACCATTTTTAATATTGTGTTTTATGTATTTTCTAAACTTGCTTGTAAAATTTGAACATTTCCCTCATCGGCTGCTAATCATATATTGTATCAGACCATGATGAATAAATACACAAAATAATATAGAGTAACAAGACTGCGTAAATCCTCAAGCCCAGTGCTGTAAGTAACTATTTTATTTCATTAAACATTATAGTCTACCACACATTCGATTGATTAGGATACCGAGGTAATTTTCTGTATTGCTGATCCGATAATAAAGTCATTTCACTTACGGTCACAATCGCCATATTGGGTGTAGTCATAGCCCTCGATACATTTACATAGGTTATCATCTTCGATAGTGCCGCCATTGTTGCATATTTCGTTGGGTCGGGTACATAGGCCAGGATCACAGGGAGCTAAAAATGGATAATACAACAGTATAAATGATTATTAATACATCATCCATACTAAATTTGATCACTGATATCTTGGTAATCGAAACAACATTACAATCAATCGTAAAAATTTAAAATACAGGGCTCAGATGTCCTAATAAATGTAGCCGTTATAAAATCATATTTACATGTTCTTATCTTTTTCATTGATATACTAACACAGGTTTTTTAATACCAACAAATAGGGGTGGTTCTGTGCGTGGAAAGACAATAAGCAGAAAAAAATGATTTAAGAGGTTAAAAAAGCGAGACAACAAAAAAATAGATATGTTTTAGGCCAAAAATTAGACCCTTAATGATTCATAAATATTGTGACGAGGAATCTTAAAGGATAGAGCGATAAAATTTAGCTCCAAAAAGAATTACCTCAGTATATTTCCATGTACTACCTCTAATCTAGGAATTCATTAACATTTTTCCAATTTTTCTTCTCAAATATTTAAGTGTAATAACGTCGACCTTTCTACCATAGCGATGTAGCAACAAAGACTTGAATTCACCAATCATGATGATCCCCTGCAGAAGTTTTTTATACTGTGTCAGCTGTGATGATAAATAGGAAAGCGTCAGAGATGATAGTGTAAAAGAGAGGGGACCTACCGATACAGACTCTACCGGGTTCGTCAGTATTCGGTGAGTTGTCGTAAAGTTCCGTGTCACATTCGCAGGTGAATGACCCTGCCGTGTTAGTGCAGTTGGCATTAGGATCACAATCGTTGTCATCAGCCGACGCACACTCGTCGAAATCTGCATAAAGGTAAATTTCGGTTCCTTAAAAATTCCCAAACTGCAGTGATAATTTTAACATTCAATTGTAACTATTGTAGTCATCTTGTTTAAAAGGCAATTAAAATCAAGTATACAATGGTCCAATTCTGAGCTTTTTTAATCGGGGAACTCCTGACCTGTCGACAGGGTCCCGATGCCATTTTTGTTTTCTTGTGATTATAAGGTTTGCTATTTATCAAAATCCTTCAATTATATATAAAGCTACAGGTGCAATCGATTTGGATCATTGGTAACACTATTCAAGACCGGTATGGTCTAATGAAATTTCAAAAAGTTGTCATTATGTTGGTCTCCCTAAAGGGCCTCGGATCTATTGAACCAAGATATATGTATACTATACTCTCGTGCTGTAAGTTTGAGGTCAATTTGGAAGTCCTCAAAAACGACACAATAGGGACTTTTAGATTTGCACGTCGACATCCTTTTTATAAGGCTCTGGCAGTGCCTTAAAAGGGTCAGTGCCTTAAAAGGACGTCACATGTAGCAGTCCACTATGTCGACGTGCAAATCTAAAAGTCCCTAATGACGCAAGGGCAATATATTTGTTTTTGTTCTTACCTGAAACAGTGATTGTCGAATCATCAATGGTTATACCAAGGTTGGCCGACTCCGCAGCTAGTGCAGTCGTGAAGGCCTCTGTCGCGTCGGTCGAGTTTACGAGCACCGGCTGACCGGCGTCTTCTGTGGCAAACAGAACATTGTAGTCGGCCACGATAGAGCCACTCCGGAAGCCCCATACCTCACTACCAAGGTAGATATCCGCCATCGTACTCGCTTGGTAGACGGTATCAAGCTGTAGTGAAAAGGCGCATGGAGGATATCATTAATTTGGTACACGCTCTTTTAGTATATCAAAATATATATTACTTTATACAAATATAACCTGCTTACTTAATGCAAGATTAGAATTTCATCTCGAACCAAAAATGCTAAGAATCAACTCAAACTAAAATGATTGATCTTTCCTTTAAATACAAGAGATGAGTGAGAGATGAGTGCAATATTTTAAAAAGAAATGATAAGGCCTATTCAAGTATTATACTATGACCAAACATATCCTTAAATAAAATTTTATTTCAACTTCAACAAGATGCAAAGAATTTCGATGAATCTACCGAAAGCACTTGTTTAGCCTTGTCAATCACCTACATGTACAAGATATTGAAATTTGAAGACTTCAGTGACATCTTAAGTAATCCTAAGATTATTTTTTAATGAGATGTATTGATACAAGGGCATTTGAATTGACCTTGAGTTGATTTCTTGACAATCTTGGATCGGCTTGGTTAAGATTTCTTTCTTGTTTAAATTCATAATAATCACGCTAAGGTCGATCATTAGGTTTAAATGAAACACAAATATTTGCAGTTTCTTTCATACCGCGTCTTCCACGTCTGCTGCTAGAGAAGCAAACGCCGCAGAGTCCGTGTCGGCTAGGTCAGCTGAGTACAATACATTATTACCGCCAACCTGTGTGATGGAAAACGAGCCAGCGAATTGCTGTGCAACTGGTGGAAAAGACGGGAACGAAGAATATCAGAAAGTGGATTTAGAGTTCAAGTTCAAGTTCAAGTTCGTTTATTTACACTCATCATTAAAAATACAGAATATATACAATTAAATACGAAATAATCACACATAAAATATCATACATCCTACAACAACAACAACAACCAAAAAAAAAAAAAAAAAAACATAACATAATGAGAGCCAGGAAACTAATCACAGTGAGCTTGATCTTGATGGAGAGTTCAATTCATGAGAATGGTTTACAAAGCGATACGTTTCAGGGCCAGGGAAATGATTGCCGTTTCTGTGATCTTGCTAATATTTCAGGACAGGTTTCTGATGAAGAGTGCAAATTGTTGGAGTGGCTGCTGAGCTGGTTTATTTTTCGGTTGATCATAATTTCAGGCTTATCTACCAACTGACTCTAGAAAACACTTTTTAAAACATTACTATGCATTCAGTAAGTTATTAATATAATGACGTCAGTTGGATCTCTTTACTAGTAATGTTTGAATATGCCTAAATATTGATCTTATCAACCATTCTTTCTTTCTTTTTTCATTTATAAACGTTCAATGGGACTTTTCTTAATTCCTAATTTAGTGGATTTAATCTGAACATTCAAAAGTGCCACGAACATGTCAAAGCAAATTTCCAATCTATATTTAATTTACTCCATTTGGTTATAAAGCGCTTCACATGTTTTGGGGGCACTCATAAAACAATAATAGATCACCTCAAAAGACTACTTCATTGAGGCCAAAATAAGCACTTTTTTCAATGTTATCAGTCTGTATTTCAAATTATACATCACATGTACACTAATCTATATATTCCCTAGCAAAATAAATCTATATCAAGTGTACTACATCATTATCTTCGTATTTTGGAAACTATTTCGTAAGATGTTGGACGAACCTGTGCAATTGCCGTTGGTTTCAAAATACCCTGGACGGCATTCACACGTGTGGGATTCGCCGGCTGCCACGCAGTGTGTACTGGCTATTGTACATGGGTTGGATGCACATGGGTCTGTACGTAAGAATAAAAATAACAAAACAATTCATGAAGAAGATATTCATCTCTGAGACTATATACATGTAGGGTGATCAATAGAAGTTGTATATTTAAGTTGTGGATATAATTGAATTTTCTTTTATGGTAGAAACTAGAATTAATCTATATGTACTATATTCCTAAAATCATTGATTGAAAACAGATATCAAATCCACCGGTTTTCTCTAAAACGATAAATCATTTGATAATCGATTTCATTTAAATTAAAAAATGTGACATGCATTCTTATGTACTTCTACGTTTGCATACGAAAAAGCCTTGTGTTTACATGATTGTTTAGTCTCTAAATCAATGAATAGAGATTTATATAAAAAGGAATAACACAGATGTGAATATGGTCTACATCTATATCATTCATAAAATATTTATCTTAGATGGATTGATATGTCAGTCACAGATAGATCGATCAATCTGCTTTCAACATAAATTTTACATTTTGTTTCACAACGATCCATTCATTCTTGATTCATAAAAATAATTCGTGATTTGTTTAATTTCAAGCCAGCTTACCTGGGGGGTCCGCCGTTGTTGCTGCAACAACAAAAAAACAGAAAGAAAGGGTAGAGAATTAATTCAGTGCAATATCTAGAAACCAATACGAGGAGATTTATCTTCAAAGACACTCCCAAAGTTTGAAGATATTGCCGATTTTAGCATAATTAATCGTTATACTCACAGTATTACGCACAAGTCTATGGCAATAGTAGTACTATTTCCTCAATCATTCTTGTTAGGAAAAGTTATACATTTCAGTCTTAATGGTCGACTTTTGGATATGATAATAAAATTAAAGAACAGCATAATGAAAATTCTCCTTTGAAATGCAATTCATGAAAAGAGTGATATATTACAGTCACCATCAAAATAATTAAACACTCCCCTGTCCCCATCTCTCTCTCTCTCTCTCTCTCTTTCATCCACATACATGATGCTCACGATCAAACGACGTTTTACATCTTCAATAATTGTTTTCCAATGGCAAATACTGATTCCAGACTAAAATTCTGTCCAGGACAAAATATTTTTTTATCTATACTCAATATGTACATGTACACAAATTAAGACTACATGTACATGTAGGCAACAGTTTGAAAAACCCATTCGGAAAAATAAAGATTTTCTGTTTTCTTGTATATTTTCTTATCGTTCGGAAAGATCATCCTTACCTGTTATTTCAGTGACCACTGTAATAAAAGACAAAACAAATCAAAATCAATCACACAATTATTAGGCAGAAAAAAAGAGTTTCAACATTGCACGATTGTTATTATAAAATGAAATTATTTGCTTCATGAAAATGATGCCTTTCAAACATGATGGCTGAGGCATAAAACACCCCCCCCCCCTCCCCCCCCCCCCCCCAAAAAAATATATAAAATCGATATCCTGCTACAGCTAGTCAACGAAGTAGGTTTTTTGCCTTCATATTTTCACCTTGTCCATTTTCGATTAACTCTTATTTCTGTTTTTACTGGCTTGTGTAATTTTTTATAATTTCTTGATATTTTTGTGCGTCAGAGGATATGTGTTGATTAGGCCTAACTTAATGACAAAAAATCTCACCTTCTGTTGTTTGTGCATTCACAAAGGAACCTGAAAGAAAAAAGAATAAAAGATTTATATAGAGGGTCTAGACTCTAGTCTACATCGTGTTTCATGTGTTGTTTTCTACTTCAATGAAATGATAAAAATTGATAGATCTAGATTCTAGATTCTTATTGTCTTACTGCCCTGCCACCTAGTCTAGATATCCTATTAGGTCAACCATGGCTTGGCTCAGAGGCGGACCCAGTTGGGGGGGGGGGGGGGGAGGGGGTGGGGGTGGGGAGCGGAGGGGGACAGGGGGCCCGCCCCCTCCCCTGGCCAATACAAAAAAGTAACTTTTGTTTTGTTTGTTTTTGTGCTGAAAGGGGGTGGGTGGGTGCTGAGTTAAAACAAAATAGTGGGCACTTTCCCTCCACCCTCCTCGTTGAGCACCAAAAAAAAAAAAAATTAGGACCATTAATAAACGCATTATACAGTCGGTACATACAGATCTAGATCTAGGCCTACTATGTACAATTACTATTACTAGATTTCTAGTACTACTAGACTAAGTGGAGATCTACATCTGTACAGTTACGAAATGAATTTAACCCCAAACCAAAGTTTTGCCAATTTGTTCCCCTCAATGGTCAATCAGATCGATCATGTGAATTCTACCAATATCATTTCATAATTTTTAAACTCATTTCTGGCCCTAACAACGGTCAGATAAATGACTAGGCCTACCACTACCACTCCAGTTCCAGTTAGTAAGACAAGAGACAAGATGGTGCCCCAACACTTAACGCCGGACACATCATTATAACAGTCAACTAGCCACCCACACTGCACTGGCCACAGTCGGGTCCAGACTGATCGAGACCGGACAGTGGATTTCAAACAGTAAACTTCAAGAATTTGGCCAGCAATACCAATACTGCAATAGACCTACTAGGCCTACTATAGTCTATAGGTCTAGAATCTACTCTAGACTAACTGTTAGATCTAGACTATATCGCCCATGAAATCCTGTTCTCCAATTTATCTTGCAACAGGCTCTTGACATGACAGACCTCCATCCATTAATCCTTCTGAACCTTCTGAAAAAGGAGTCAGCAGGGCGGTATTCCGCATGTCGCTAACATCTTATCCGCACCTCCAGTTAAGACTCAGACGAGTACTTAAGAGGACCAACCAACCAAGTAGGCCTAGATCTAGGCCTACCAAGTACCAAGTAAAGCGTCCGAACACACAAACACATTATTTCATACCACGTCGATATGGAGACCGGCGCGCCGCGCCCCGGGGTCGGCTGGGGTGGCATAGCATTGTCACGCGCTTGACTAACAATGGCCTAGGCCTATGAGATTTTAGTTACGCTGCGATTACAGTGTAGTCTATGCCAAGACAAGGTTCTTTTATTTCTTACCTGTGAGTGTGAGGAGCAAAGAAAAGACCACCAACATGCAATGCAGGTGGCAGAACATCTTGAAAACTTGGGATTTTATATTTCCAACAAGCTGATCCTTGATTTTAGTCTTCAAACATGAGTTTTTATGGTGCTTTTTACCCTGTCTCCATTGCAAAAATACTCCAGCCAAATGGTTAATTGTTCTTAAAATTTCGTAACAATGTGTTTCTATGGAGATAAAGTTTGCGCATGTGCGCGCGCGGATATATGATCTAGCTGCGCGCATTACTAATTACGTCACAATAGAAGTTCACTGACCTTTATCGCAAGCGCCATCAAACATATTGTTACGTCACAATGCGAACTCGTCAGTTGCTCGCAAGAGGGTCCTCACGATTCGTCAGCTCAATCGACCATTCATAATGAACAGATAAAGGGAAGCGATGGGGTTGGAGATTACCTTGCTGTGCCAGCGTCGTAAGATACGAAGCTTTAAAAAATCAGTTAACTTTTATTCTTTCTTTCTTTTTGAAAAAAGCTCTTTTTAGAAAGAGTGTGTTTTAGAGAGGGTGGCTTCTGAGGTTCAAATACCCCCCCCCCCACACACACACACACAGGGATCCACGTAGGTGTTGTATAAAATAGTTTATACAACACCTACGTGGATCCCTGTCATTTGATTGGAGGATTGTTGGTCACATGATATTCAATAGATGGTATATTGCACGGTCGTGCATTTTTGGTTATATGCGCCGTGCATTTTTGGTTATATGCAGACTGGGTACCTCTCTGCCGTGCGCGCGCGTATCCCTGCGTGTATCTGACGCGAAGGCAATCTGAATGTAATCGAGAAGGCTTGAATCCAACTTGAATTTATCTTTAATATAAGGAGTAAAGCATAATTTGTTGATTAACGTTCTATTAGATCTTCTTCGATGTTGTATAAAACAAATAATGAATGTTTTTCATTCGTTCAATGCTGCGAATATTTTCATTCGTTGAAAGATTAACATTAAAATTTCAACATTTCAACTCATGAAAATATTCGCATTATTGAACTCATAACCATTCATTATTTGTATAATAACGTAATCTACGCCAAATAGCCATCTACAAGAAAACACGCAACATTCAGTGTACATCTCAAATGAATTCTACAAGAAAGAAAATTCTTAGATTGGCGAATGCGCTTTATACAGTTATGGAGAACAATCAATAAAATCAATGTTTTTGTTGTTGGTGTAGGTGATATTTTGTCTGTATTTCGTTTATTTATTTCAATTTGTTCTATTTATTAACAAAAGTTTGTTTATCTTAATAAAGCATAATTTATCAATCTTATATCTTTTTTAAACAGACGTATAAGCGCAGAGGGCTTAGGACCTCATTTGTCACGCGCAGGTACATTTTTAATCCACTTTCATCTTTTCATTTTCAAGTTAAGAAAGAAAAAACACGCCACGGGTCACGTGGGATTCTTTTTAAAGGCAATAACAACAAAAACAGTAATAATCGAAATACGAAGTGTATTTAACATAGACATTGAGTAAATGAAAAATATTATGATTAATACCATGAATAATAGTTTAAAGGGTAAGAGGCATGCACAAAATTTGAAAGCTCTAAGAGAGAGTAAAATGAGATAGAGAGAGATAGAAGAAGAACGACATTACAAGTGGGAAGAGAAGAGAATGAGTCTGAAGAACGGAAAAGAAAGAAAGAGGGAGAGAGAAAGAGAGAGAGAGAGAGAGAAAGGGAAAGAGAGCTGATGCGAAGTACAGAACTGAGAAACAGGGACAGTTGTAAGAAGAAAGAGATAATACCACATTAAACATGATAAAAGTATTCAACAAGAGCGTGCATGCATTCATGGGCGATAGCCTATTACTTTAATAAATCAGAAATTGATACTTGACTGTTACAGTTGGCGTTTTAAGGTGAGACATGGAACGGAGAAGTAGGCATTGAGAAATAAGGTGGGTAGGGGACCGGAGCTGAGGAGGGAAGGTGAGAACATTAATATCTTATCAAGAAAACAAAAGTCCCGTGAAAAAAAGGGGAAAAATTGCTGTTGATTACTGATAAATGACATATAATTCATCATCCGTAATAGCACGTGAATGACAGCATATCAGGCCTATCCCATTTTATTGTATATACAGAATAATACACAGTAGGACCTAAAACAAACTTTAAAATGTCATAATCACAGATTAACAAATGTCTGTGATGTCATAAGGTTTCAATGATTCGTCAAGAGCACCAGTATACAACGGGCGGTTTTGGTGACGTCTCGGGGAACTGAATAGCTGTCACATCGGCCTATGTCGTAACAGGAGGAGAGCTAGGCATGGGTGGTACTTTCCTGAGTATCTCTTCGGCAGATAACCAGGGTAAAAATAATGTCCTCGTATACATCCGGACAACATGGGTAGGTGACAAAGTCCTGGACGGCCTCGGTATTCACGATTTCCCAGATTGGGTTTTCTTTGTACCTTGACAGATCGATGGTATCTGACGAAGGGCTGACGGACACACTCTCGCTACCGTGTGCCCAGGATGCCCATTTCAACCTGCAGCTCTAGAAGGGGAAATAATTTTGTATATTAGATTTTAGCCGGTAAACCTAGGACATATTATTTGCATTGTTTCTATGATTTCCTATGATATGATATTCTTCGAGTTTTCTGTTACTCCATGGTTGAGAAGAACACATCCATTTATGTAACTGCAAAGAAAAAAAAACACAGAATCGTTGAATGTTTCAGAATACCAATTTCCCTAACAGAAATCATTAGAATAATACCATAAATACAGAAAACAAAATTCAATGTTTGACCAATGATTTGATTCTTAATCATTTGTTAAGGTTGTCTCATATCGATCTTCTTCAAACGCTCCAAATTATAAAAGGGCCTACGTCACTTCTTAATGAGAGTACTGAACAAAATGTCTGCCAGTGGTCTTCCAACCGATCCTTTGGTCAAGCGTCTGATTGGCTCCTCATGCCATTAGGCCAATGAAAACTAACCCCTCTCATTAAAGTCGAACCCACAAAGATGTATTCAAAACTTCCCACTTGTCCCATTTGTACGATAAAGCCCAACCTTAACATTAATGAATCTTGAGATCAGACAGATAAAGCCCTACCTTAAGATAATTGAATCTTAAGATCAGACAGATAAAGCACAAGTGAGACGTAAGTCCGATGATATGCAGGACAATGGGATCAGTGTGGCATGGGACCTACGGTACGCAGGATCAGGAGGACCCGTTTCACAAAGCCTTTTTTCTATGACAAATGACAAAAATCAGTAACGAATCTGCGGATAACCAATCAGAAGCAAGGATTTCAGTAGCTTATAACAAAAACTGTCATTTGTCACAGATGGCAAGTTTTGTGAAACGCCCCCTGGACAGCAGACATGGTAAAGACACTCTAACCCTAACAACATTTAATACGTGCGCATCATCTCCCTGATCCAGATCCGTGCAGTTTACATCAAGCTTCATACGAGGTGAATAGTTGACGTTACCAAGGTAGTCCTCATCAACAAAGACATCGTGTAGACTTTCCTTTGGTAAGTTACTAGAATAAAAGTTTAGAAATGAGGGAAGGAGAGCATTAGCATATGCTTCACATTCAGGTTCATGTTGGGGGTATAATAACGCATTGAACGGTATAGTATGCACGTATGGAATTTTAAAAGTGAATGGACTGTTGATTTTGTAGAATTATTATGGCACATGATCAGGTTTCTATAGCAACGTGCAATACCTCAATATTCTTGTTTTCACAAATGATGAAATTTTAAGACATATGGGAATTTTGTTTTGGAATGATTTTAGGACCTGAATCATTGGCATAAGAATGGTAAAAATTTGCCATCAATGTTACCTACCATGGAAACATCCCTCAACCGCAAATTAAATCAACGTTTTCATGGAAGTTAACATTAATGGCAATGTTATAATCAATGGTAAGTTGTTGCATTACTCTTCATCAATAACCAATGCTAAGATTCGATGACAAATTGGCTCTCATCCAGTCAGAGGCCACAATTTCAGTAGCTTATAACAGTTATTGTAACTTCTTTTTTTTTACAATTTTGTTTTTTAATAGGGCCTAATGTGTACCTGGGCCCTGTCTTATAAAGAGTAAAGATTGATCCAAATCAATCGCAAGTCCTCCAATCAATCGCAACTTTGCAGTCTCCTATCTCTTACGTACATAATTGCGATTGATATCAACTCTTTATAAGACGGTGCCCTTGTGTATTTATCCGCGACTGATTATCCGCAGATTACCTGTTATAGAAAGCGATATCGGGGCCCCGTCTTACAAAGAGTTACGATCGATCCAAATCAATCGTAAGTCCTCCAATCAATCGCAAGTTTGCAGTCTCCTATCTCTTATGTACATAGTTACGATTGATATCAATCGCAAATAAGTTACGATTGATATCAACTCTTTGTAAGACGGGGCCCGGGTGTCCATATATCCGAATAAAACACGTGGTATCCGGTGATGTCTGCGAACTAGGTCGGATCCCACACCAAACGAGAGTCTCTCCAAGCCTAAACGGATTTGTTTTGTAAATTTGTAAATAAAATAATTAGAAATGACGATGGGAAATGCAAAGTATTGATACCATGGTAATTATTAGTGTAACAATGAGAAACAGGGGATGTAACCTCTCCGGAGCGGCCATATAGGCCCCAAAATTGTAAAAAATATCTTGCTTAGACTAGAATCTAGATCTACTCTCAAAGATACACTCATAAAAAACAACCGTGCAGATAAACTAGAGAAAGGCCAAGGTGGTGTCATAAGTTGACTCTTTTTCTTCGGCATATAAAAGTATTAATGACTACTTTGTGTACGTGTTTCTGAATCTGCATTTGGAGTTTAAACTGTGCTTCGATGAGCACATACATATATATGGAAATTGGTTCGAAAAATATTAGTTTACATTATGAGGGACAACATCGTGAAACAATTATCCAAATTTGTCATCAAAATAATTAATATTTACACCGATGATAATAACGACTATTGCATTTTTCTTTACTCAATATACGATAAGAAAGTTATTCATAAATAATCATCATTTTTTATGAATAAACTAATCGATTATATTTCGAGAAGCTTTTCAATTTTAATGATATCACAAGGCCATGAACATTCATGACTCCAGACT